TACGTTAAATAACATGGGCTACTCCGTTTTTCGACATGCAAATCATATGCGTCCCATTTAGGTTGGTGAAGGGGGTTTTTGGCCCGTAATTTTTTTTATTTCAATTTTTTTACAATTTTCTCTACAGATTTATAAAATCTTAACAATTTTACGTAAAAAATATTATCTATGCCCAAATCGATATTTCCATTGGTTTTCGAGTAAATTGAGTTTGAAAATCACTCTGCTCTTTAAGTTATTAGGCCAAATATTACAAAAATCTGTTTACCATGGCAAATAAAAGACTGGCGTTGCCACAATGCTTAACAATTTAAGTTATTGATAAACTGTCAATTGAGCTTTGCAGTGTTTAATTATTAGTAAAAGTGGTGAGTGGAAAATTTAAGTATACAACATTATTGCAACTCATAAAATGGAGTCATATTTAAGCACGGAAATGGCAGATATGCCCGAATAGAAAACTTCCTTCTCGACAGGTATTTCAGAGGATCCATCAACGTTTAAGAGAAAATGGTTCGTTCCAACCAAGAGTAAATGATCGTGGCAGAGAAGATTTGTAAGAGCACCGGTGATGGAAGAACCCTATTTTAGAAACACCCTATATAAAAAATACAATTTCAAAAACTATGTAAATACTCTACGTCGGATTTTGGCTTCAACGAAATTTTTTGTTTTCAAATTCACACCCTCGATCTCTCCACACGCCTTAGCTCTGAAAAATTTTAAGTTTATTTTAATGCAACCATTAAAAGTATGAAACTATTTGTTGCTGGAATTTGGTGAAAATAAAAGAGATTTCGTCAGTTTGCCCTCCCCCTAGTGGTCCGCCAAAAAATGCAAATACTAGGTACCACTGGCGTCTATTACAGCTTGATCAAATTAATCTTGTACTACGGCCCTACTATCAAGGTCTCCTGTCTTTGTTACTCCCACTTTGAAATATCCTCTTGATCATCGACAATCTGAGTTTGGCCAAATTGTATCTGGAGAAACAGTGGAATACATCCGGATATTAGCTTCAGATGGAGCAAAATGGTACTCTTCTATTCCTAAATCTCTTTGTCAAGAGAAAACCAGATGACCCCGTGTAGCACAGCGTTTAGAGAAAGCCAACTCACGCGGATATATGCCTAATCGTTCTGTCTCATCAGTCTCATCCAGTATAGGAACAAGGTACTGTCGGCTTACTGAGGCGGAACACTTAGACAACACACTACAACCAATTAGCGACGAGCTATTATGAAGGCATCCAAAGGCAAGAGAAAAGAGGAACAACGCATCTGCGCTACATACAAGGATGGATTGACAAGATGTGTCATAGCTTGAGGAAACACAAAACACAAAAGATGAACTGCTCAAACGATCTACTTTAAGTATTCCATGTACATGCGAAAAGGTATACTTTGGACAAACAGGAAGACGCATCAAGAGAAAGAAGATTTTGATCAAGATGCTACGTGGAGGCAATAGAAATCCGGGGGAATCCAGATAATTTGAATCAGGGGTTAGAAGTACCTGTAATTTGGAAAAGACCAGTGCACACAGCAAATATAAATACTAACCAGAAGACAGTCTCAGTTTCAGAGATCTCGTCTTCTAAAGAAGAAATTATAGACTAGGTGGTATCTGTTTTGGTTTGGGTGAATCGTATATCCACGGAGATTTTTGGCTTTTTGGCTTTCAAATATCATTAGAAATGAAAATTTTTCTATGCGCATAAAAAAGAACGTGGGCTTAACTTTTGGCGGCACAATATGTTAAAAAAAATCGAAGAATGCCATATTTTTCTTCCTATTTAATTATATATCTTTTCAATACTTGATTTTAGGCGAAAATGAAAGAGGAAAAAAATGTTTGTAATTAATTTTTTTACAAAATATGACTAGTTACAAATCGAATAAATAAATCATGAGTATTATTGTAAAAATCGAAGAAATCGCCAAACATGGGGTTAAAAAACATTACTTTTTAGGGAATTTTTTTGGGGTCTTTAAATTGGGTATAAGACCTTCATATTTGGCTCAAGAAAACTTCATGTTATGTAGAATCATCACACCAAATTTCATCAAAATCGGTTTGATAGATTTTGAATAACAATTTTGCAATCCAGATTTTGAAAAAAAAAAATTGCAATTTTTCAAAATTTTGCACAGCAAAAACCAAGGCCCTTAGATACTTGAAAATTTAATCACATATAGAAGGGTTTTCAAGCTTTCAATATTCATCAAATTATTCTAATTGTTTATAAGTACAAAAATTCGACCAATGTTTAAACAAACGCCAGAGCTATCCTAATTGACGGATTCGAATTTTTCAAAAAGCTTTTGAAAGCTTGAGAACCCTTCTATATGTAATTAAATTTTCAAATATCTAAGGGCCTTGGTTTTTACTGTGCAAAATTTTGAAAATTTGCAATTTTTTTTTCAAAATCTGTTAAACCGATTTTGATGAAATTTGGTGTGATGATTCTACATAACATGAAGTTTTCTTGAGCCAAGTATGAAGGTCCTATACCCAATTTAAAGACCCCAAAAAAATTCCCTAAAAAGTAATGTTTTGTAACCCCATTTTTGGCGATTTTTCCAATTTTTACACTAATAATCATGATTCATTCGA